AACTGTATGTGGTGCTGAAACTACACTCAGACAGTATTTTGTAACTATGCATTTTCTCGTCTTCAGTTGCAAGGAGAATAAATATTTCACCTAAGAGCCTTTAAGAATACAGCCTTTAAGAATACAGTGGTGGAGGAGGGAGTGGAGGGGAGGGAGGGGAGGTGGTCAGGGTGTTGTTGGGAGGGAGGAGTTGTCAAGCAGAGTCAAGGCAACTCTCATAAACAAGTGGCGTTGTCCCGGGGAGGGGGGGGGGGGAGGTGGGAGGGGGGAGGAGGGAGGGGGAGGAGGGGAGGGGGGGGAGGAGGGAGGTGGGAGGAGGTACAAGTTGATCCTGAGGCACACATGACGTTGGATCCAGAGAGAGAGAGAGAGAGAGAGAGAGAGAGAGAGAGAGAGAGAGAGAGAGAGAGAGAGAGAGAGAGAGAGAGAGAGAGAGAGAGAGAGAGAGAGAATTTAAGTAAAGAACAATTTTGTGTTTTTAGCGGGACAGCCAGAAGACACACAGACACACACACACACACACACACACACACACACACACACACACACACTGAAAGCGTCTGGTAACAGGAACTCCCCTTTTAACAAACCCAAAGACCAAAGTAATTCAATCAAGAACTCATGATATAAAAACTGGTTACATTAAAACGTCCTTGGGGTCCATATTTCAGTAAGATAAGTTGTCTTCAAGATGCCAGAGAACACAGTTGATTAAAGGCTTGTCAGAAATGTGTAATTTACTCTGTCTGTTATTGGTACTGGTAAATACACGTTCCAACCCCCACACACAGGGCACTGCCATTCCCTGACTAATATTACATGCCGTAGATCACCCTGGCGATAAGTAAATAACAAATAAAAAGTACTCGTAACAATACTAAAACAAATACAATAAATAAGAGAAATCTTTCGTAAACAAAAAGCTCTTAGAATTCATTATATTTATACTGTGTGTGTGTGAGTGTGTGTGTGTGTGTGTGTGTGTGTGTGAGTGTGTGTGTGTGAGGAGTGTGTGTGTGTGTGTGTGTGTGTGTGTGTGTGTGAGTGTGTGAGTGTGTGTGTGTGTGTGTGTGTGTGTGTGTGTGTGTGTGTGTGTGTGTGTGTGTGTGTGTGTGTGTGTGTGTGTGTATGGCTTCACTTCTCCTGAGAGGTTAAGTTTATCCATTCTCTTCTGTAATACGTCAAGTGTTTCTGTTTGTCAGGCTTCTCTAATAGTGTCTGTCTGTCTGTCTGTCTGTCTGTCTGTCTGTCTGTCTGTCTGTCTGTCTGTCTGTCTGTCTGCCGCAGCTTTGTTCTGGCCGTCTCATTGGTGGTGACAGCCCCGGATTATTCTAAGGAGTGGAGGGGAGGGCGGCGAGGGTAATGGGGGTAATGTTTAACAAGAGGAGGTCGTATATTACATAAGAAAAAAGGAAGAAGTACAAATTACGTCATACGCCCGCCAGTACTGCACGAGGGGAAGACGCCTGAGTACCCGTTTAAACTATCGTACAGTAGCAAGACCGGAGATGGAAAATAAACCAACCAATCGAAGCTGTGGTCTGATTAGTCTCTTACATCGTCCAAACTGTCGTAGGGTATTGAGACCGAGTTGAGAGGATACACACACACACCGCTACACCCACACACCGCTACACACACACACCGCTACACACACACACCGCTACACACACACACCGCTACACCCACACACCGCTACACCCACACACCGCTACACCCACACACCGCTACACCCACACAGGTAGCCAGAGCTCACGGCCTGGGACTGACGTGACGATATTATCAATCAGAAATTCAATCTCGGTCACCAAAATACATCGGCCGCCAGAGAGAAAATATAACTACTGTATAAATAAATTAGGAATACATTACATGGTAGTACGGTTAAATGACGGAGATTATTGAATAGTAATATTAAATAAGAAAGCACATAACTACAAGGACTATTATTATTATTAACAGTGCTACTATAACTACTATTGATAATTATGATGTCGATAATAATAATAATAATAATAATAATAATAATAATAAAAATAATAAAAATAATAATAATAATAATAATAATAATAATAATAATAATAATAAAAATATCTACATTTAGTAAAACGAAGTGTCTGCCTGTGTGTGTGTGTGTGTGTGTGTGTGTGTGTGTGTGTGTGTGTGTGTGTGTGTGTGTGTGTGCGGTGTCTCTGTTCCAGCCATAGCTCCAAACCGGAAGCAGTTAGAAACCCGACACTTAACACACACACATATTACATGGGTGCCCAGGTTGTATTACTATTGACCACGAACCTCCGTGGCTTGGACAGAACCAAAGATCTTCCCTGACTGGGAGAGATATCACCCTGGCGACTGTGGAGTGAGTGGGCACCTGTGTTAGGGAAGGCAACCAAGACAAGGTTAGGTTAGGTTAGGATTCACTTCGGCTAGGTTAGGTTACCCGTGTCAGGGAGGGCAAAGTGTATAAATCTAGGTTAGGTTAGGTTAGGTTAGGTTAGGTTGGGTTGGGTTGGGTTAGGTTGGGTTAGGTTAGGTTAGGTTAGGTTAGGTTAGGTTAGGTTAGGTTAGGTTAGGTTAGGGTAAACTGTAAGTCAACGTTATACAGATTATACCCAACCCGAGAGAGGCCGGACAATTTTGCTGGTGACAATAATAAAACTAAGAAAACGGAGAACGCCTCAGATACTGACCTCAAGGAAAAAAAAATACCTAAAAGTGCAACCAAGAGAGGCCGAATATTGACCACCAAGAAGCAACTACCTGAGATATTGATCACTAGGAGGGAAGTACCCGAGATATTGACCAATAGGAGGCAACTACCTGAGATATTGACCACTAGGAGGGAAGTACCTGAGATATTGACCAATAGGAGGCAACTACCTGAGATATTGACCACTAGGGGGGAAGAACCTGAGATATTGACCAATAGGAGGCAACCACCTGAGATATTGACCACTAGGAGGGAAGTACCCGAGATATTGACCAATAGGAGGCAACTACCTGAGATATTGACCACTCGGGGGGAAGTTCCCGAGATATTGACCAATAGGAGGCAACCACCTAAGATATTGACCAATAGGAGGCAACTACCTGAGATATTGACCACTAAGAGGCAGGCACTTGAGGATCACAGTAGCCCTGGGGAGTCAATACTCTGGCTTGGTCTACTAAGATTTAACTGAATTAGGAAATGCCGTCTCTGTTTTATAGGTGTGTGTGTTGTGGGAGTGGGTGGGTGAAGGGGTGGATGGGTGTGGTGGGGCGAAGGGGTGGATGGGGGTGAAGGGGTGGATGGGGGGTGAAGGGGTGGATGGGGTGAAGGTTGATGGGTGAAGGGGTGGATGGGGTGAAGGGGTGGATGGGGTGAAGGGGTGGATGGGGGTGAAGGGGTGGATGGGGGGGTGTAGGTGTGGACACACACACACACACACACACACACACACACACACACACACACACACACACACACACAAAAGACAGACCCGGTGCTTCAGACTGACACGGGGAATCCCCAGCTCTTACGTCTGGCAGGGGGAGGGAGGGAGGGAGGGAGGGAGGGAGGGAGGCCAGCTAGGGCGGTCGACCCAGCTGTGAGCGCGGCCTTCTCTTCCCTACCTAGAACAACGCCTTACACTTCTCAGACGAAAACATTCACCTTAAAACACTCCACATACCTCTTGAATTGTTTTTTTTTTTATCCAAGCTTAATATAAACCATTTGAGGTTTGTTTATTTTTGTATCCACTGGGGTTTTAGTTCATGTGGGTAAAATAATGATATGAAATGAGCTGAGTCTGACGGTGAGGGTATGAGATGCGCGGTGTTCGTCCTGGAATATTTATGAAGGGATAGTTGCCATCTCTCGCCAGGTAGTAAAATATGAAGAGTGATGGCCGTAGAGTTTCTGGAGCCACGATCTCTTGGGGAGTATCTCGCTCATATGGCCAGCTTATCTCTCTGTCTCCCCCTCCTCCACTCTCTTCAGTCAAATGTGTCGAGGTGTTTTGTTTACGGCGACCTGTTAAGTTGTGTGTGTGTGTGTGTGTGAAGGGGAGAGGATGGCGAGGTGTTGGTTACGTACGTGTGTGTGTGTGTGTGTGTGTGTGTGTACGTGCCAGAGTCATGTACGTTATGTGTTCATGTATATGCACAAACACAAGACACTTCAAGAGAGAGAGAAAAAACTCAACACACACAATAAACAACACAACTACAACCCCTCATACCGCCACTCCTTCCCTTCATCACTCCCTCCCTTCACCACTCCCTTCCTCCAACACTCCCTCCCTCCACCTCCTCCCTCTCCTCCCTCCCTCAACACTCCCTCCTCCACCCTCCCTCCCTTTAGCCTCCCCTCTCTCTACCTCCTCCCTCCAGCACTCCCTCCCCCCACCACTCCCCTCCCTCCAACACTCCCTCCCTTCTCCCTCCCTCCCTCTACCACTCCTTCCTCTACCACTTTCCTCTACCCTCCCCTCCCTCTACCCTCCCTCCCTCCTACCCTCCCCTTTCCTCCAACCTCCCCTCCCTCCACCCTCCCTCTCTCTACACTCCCTCCCCTCCCTCCAACCTCCCCACCACTCCCCTCCCTCAACACTCCCTCCCCCCACCCTCCCTCCCCTCCAACCTCCCTCCCTCAACCTCCCTCCCTCTACCCTCCCCTCCCTCCAACACTCCCTCCCTGCCCTCCCTCCCCCACCCACTCCTCAACACTCCCCTCCCTCCCCACTCCCTCCTCCGCCTCCCTCCCTTCCACCACTCCCTCCCTCTACCACTCCCCTCCTCAACACTCCCCTCCCTTCACCCTCCTCCCTCTACCCTCCTTCCACTGCTTACTCCCTCCCTCCACCACTCCTCCCTCCTCCTTCCCTCCAACACTCCCTCCCTCCCACCACTCCCCTCCCTCTACCCTCCTTCCCTCCAGCCTCCTCCCTCCAACCTCCCTCCCCCCACCACCCCAGGACCGAAAATTAAAGAAAATTAAAGAGAAAAAATACAAGGTGGCATCTCCTCGAGGGTTGCCAGTTGTGGTGTCGCGGGAAGAAGGTCCACCACTACAGCCTTCCTCTACCACCTCTGGCTCTAGCAGGCACTCAAAGTCTTGTGGCACCCAGGCCTTATGGCACCTGGGTTCTTGTGGCACCCAGGGCCTTGTGGCACCCAGGGCCTTGTGGCACCCAGGGCCTTGTGGTTCCCAGGGCCTTGTGGCAACTATGGCCTTACGACACCCACGGCAGCGAGGCATCTCCACCAACGAACCCTTCTCACTCTCACTATCTTTATTTTTCTTTCATAACTTTTTATTTTACAATCTTTTATTTTCTCACTATCTCTATTTCATCTCTCCCTTTCTATTTTAATTTTCACTCTCCCACACATATCTTTTGTTTTCACTCCCTTGCTATATTTCCTCTCTCTCTCTCTCTCTCTCTCTCTCTCTCTCTCTCTCTCTCTCTCTCTCTCTCCAGGTAAGACCAAGACGACAACTACCCCGCTGAGGTTATTATGACTGAAGCCTCGGGGCCCCGTGCTTGAGAGGCCTCCAATCACAGTGTGGAAAAATATATCCCATTTCACCTTTAAGATGCAAGTGACCACGTAGAGTGAGGCGGAGTTACACACACACACACACGACACGCAGCTCTGTGTGTGTGTGTGTGTGTGTGTGTGTGTGTGTGTGTGTGTGTGTCTGTGTGTGTGTGTTAATAATGTACCTCATACTGTCTTCACTTAAAAAACGACAAATTACCATAAATAGTACTTAAAATTATAGTAAATTATCCTCCTGTCATGTGTACAGGTTTGGCCCAATCAAAAGGACACACACACACAACACACTCTCTCTGTCAACACACTCTCTCTCTCAACACACTCTGTCAACACACTCTCTCTCTCTCTCTCTCTCTCTCTCTCTCTCTCTAGTGATCGTAAGTGGGTCACCTGAAGATTACACACCCCTGTTTATTTCACCCGATGATTTCTCACCTGAACTCTTACTTAATCTACACCTAGCTTAATCTAACCATACTTAATCTAACCTTACTCCAGGCGCTTCAATTAAATAATATATATCACACCATAATCTAGTTGAGCTCTCGGGTACGACAGCTTTATTATTCCGTACGATGACTTTATAAACTGTACGATGAGTCAAGCCTTTAAGGTGCCAATTATCACTTTATTGGGTACATAATCTCTAAAACGATATAAGATCACTTCCTTATACGACATTTAAACAACAATGAGTACAATAGCTTTCCCCAGTGTACGATAACTTGATCCACTGAAAACAAATCCTTCCAAGCGATGCATACGATTACATCCACCACTGAACAAAAATACTCGTCTGGTATTTATATGATTGGTGTATAGCTGTTAGGCGTACGATAACTTCCCCCCACTGAATACAAGAACTAATCCTCGGGGGCGATGACACAGCTGCCAGGCGTACAATAATTAAACCCACTGAATTTAACTTAATCCCAGTGCACCATGACAACGCTGCCGGGTGTAAGATAACTTCATCCACTGAAAACAAGACCTAATCCTCGGGGCGATGACACAGCTGCCAGACGTATGATGATTAAAGCCAATGAACCCTACGCTTAATCCCAGTGTGTAATAAACTTCTCTAGTGTGTCAGCTGAGTATGACAAGATATTAAGATACATTAAGAACACAACATATGTATATTTCACTCTATATATATATTTTTTAGCGTGGATATTGTTCATCGTTAACCTCCCTTACATAATGTTAGCTAAGATACAGCATTATATTATGTTTAGTTTTTCATGTATTTTGTATGTAACGCCGTAATTAGTTGTTATTAACTATTACTATCATTACTGCTATTATTATCATTTATCATTATTATTATTTATTTATTTATTATTATTATTATTATTATTATTTATTATTATTATTATTAAAACATCTCTAAAGGTAAGTCTTTGTACAAAAACACTTCCTTCGTTCTCAAAATGCAGGTGAAATCTGTAAGTGCCAAGTGCATGTTAGATATACCGTCACTTTACGTCGAGGAAGAGTGTGTTAAGTGTGTTGGTGAGGTCAGATGGTCACTTAACACACAAGATAAGTAGTGTTAAGTGTGTTGGTGAGGTCAGATGGTCACTTAACACACAAGATAAGTAGTGTTAAGTGTGTTGGTGAGGTCAGATGGTCACTTAACACACAAGATAAGTGTGTTGGTGAGGTCAGAGTCAATTAAACACACACACACAAAACCGCCAGGAAAGAGAGAGGCATACGAAAGTCAGTCAATCAGTCAGTTTTAGTCAGCCAGTCAACCAGTTTCAGTCAGTCAATAAGGAAATGCTGGGTCAAACAGGCACTCTCTATAGACAGGTGTGTTTAAGGTGAGGTCACATATCATGAACCATCTGGCCAGTACCTCTTGTGTCCACCAGCTGTCGTCCCTACTCCCCTCATCTCACCCCAGCAACCCTATCCTTCTGTCCTCTCTCTCCTCCCCTTCTGTCCCATCCCCCTCTCTCCTCCCCTTCTGCCCCATCCCCCTCCCTCCCCTTCTGCCTCCCCCTCTCTCCTCCCTTCTGCCCCCTCCCCTCTCTTCCCCTTCTGCCCCATCCCCCTCCCTCCTCCTTCTGCCCCCATCCTCCTCCTCCCCTCCCCTCTCTGCCCCATCCCCTCCCTCCTCCCCTTCTGCCCCATCCCCTCCCTCCTCCCTTCTGCCCCATCCCCTCCTCCTCCCTTCTGCCCATCCCCTCTCCCTCCCCTTCTGCCCCATCCCCCCTCCCCCTCCCCCCCTTCTGCCCCATCCCCCCTCCCTCCTCCCCTTCTGTCCCATCCCCCTCCCCCCCTCCCTTCTGCCCCCATCCCCTCTCTCCTCCCCTTCTGCCCCCATCCCCCTCTCCTCCCCATCTCCCCCCCATCCCCCCTCTCTCCTCCCCATCTCCCCCCATCCCCCTCCCTCCTCCCCTTCTGCCCCATCCCCCTCCTCCTCCCCTTCTGCCCCCATCCCCCCTCCCCTCTCCCTTCTGCCCCATCCCCTCTCTCCCCATCTCCCCATCCCCCTCCCCTCCTCCCCATCTCCCCCATCCCCTAAACGTTAACCATCTCCCCCCAACCGTCACTTACATACCGTGGCAAGCAGTAATTCGCCTCGGTATTTATGTTCGTTGGCAACCTTGAAACAGGAGAAGGTGCCACATATTACTTTTTTTTAACCGATAATTAACATTCATTCCCACTTTTATCATTATAAATTTTTTAGGGAGCTAACCATTTATTTAACATTTAATTATTTATTCAACATTCACTAACCAGAATTACTTATTATTAATATTATTGTTATTATTATTATTATCGTTATTACCAAAACACCTCAAAGGTCGCGTAAATATAGCGATCAGAATTTCTACCATCTAATAATGTCTCTGTCTGTCTGTCTGTCTGTCTGTCTGTCTGTCTACCCACTCACACACGGACACTAAGACCTACACCGTTCACATTTCACCTGTACAGTATATCCGCCAAGACAATCCCTCCAGCTGACAAGTTTTGCCGGGGTCAAAGGTCACGGTCACACCTCACCCGAGTACACGACGGCCAGACAGGAGGTATTGACAGAGACTGGTAGATTGACAGACTTTAGGAATGGTAGACAGATTAGTATACAGGTAGATTGGTATAATACTAGAAAGACTTTTAGACATGTAGACTAAGAGACTATTAGACAGGTAGACTGAGAGACTTTTAGACAGGTAGACTTTTAGACAGGTAGACTGGGAGACTATTAGACAGGTAGACCGGGAGGCTTTTAAACAGGTAGACTGGGAGACTTTAGACAGGTAGACTGGGAGACTTTTAGTATACTGTCTAGACAAACTCAATGACAGACTGGCAGGCAAATAACAATGATAACAGACTGGTAGACGAGCCAGACAGTCAAGACAGTCAATCAGGCGTGATGGTGACCTTGACACACACCCCCCTCCCCCCCTTCCCCCCTCCTCACCCCCTCCCCCCTCACCCCCCTCCTCAATCCCCCCACACAACACAGCGTCTCACAACACGACATACCAAGGTCACCCCCTCCCCCCTCACCCCCCCCTATCTCTACCTCCAAACACAGCCACACCCAGAGAAGGGGTTGTAAGGGGGGGGGGTTGTGGTTGGGTGGAGAAGGGGGTGGTTGTGGTTGGGGTGAGGAGGGGTGGTTGTGGTTGGGGTGGAGGAGGGGTGGTTGGGGTTGGGGTGGTTGTGGTGGAGGAGGGGGTGGTTGGGGTTGAAGGAGGGATAGAAGGGGTGAGAGGGAAGAGGAATTGGGGTGATAGTAAAGAAGGAAGGAAGGGAGGGAGAAGGAGGGTGGCTTACCAAGTCACATAATCTAGGTGTTGGCTCAAAATAGCTTCAGCTGTCAGGTATAGCACAACACTCCCTCTCTCTCTCTGGGTCAAGCCCTACCCTCACTACCCACGTGTGGGCGTGGTTTACTAGTTGCTGTCCTCCACGTGCGGGCGTGGTTTACTAGTTGTCCACCGCATGTGGGCGTGGTCTACTAGTTGTTGTCCACCACGTGTGGGCGTGGTCTATTTGTTGTTGTCCTCCACGTGTGGGCGTGGTCTACTTGTCCTCCAAGTGTAGGCGTGGTCAGTTTATCGTCCTCCATATATGGGCGTGGTCTCCTGGGCGAATTAAAACCACTATATATATATATATATATATATATATATATATATATATATATATATATATATATATATATATATATGTGTGTGTGTGTGTGTGTAAGCTTACACAATTTAAAAGTTAACATGCTCATTGAACACCAGTTCAGCGTTCACTCAGTGTTCAGGCCGAGGCTCAACATAGAACATACTCGCTGAACATTATATTGAATATTTCAACCCAGGTGTTCCAAACGATGTTGAACACTGATCAAAGAGACTCGTTGAAGGTTAGATTGAACACAAGTCTTCAACCAAGGGTGAACGCTGAACAGTAGTATCTGTTATTCATGCCAAGGATGGACACTGAACAAAGACTCGGTGAACAGTGGCGCCAGTTCTTCAAGCCAAGGGTGAACGTTGAGACAAAGAGAATCATTGAACAGTTCAGTAAAATGCTCACTCAGCTGACAGGAAACACAATGGCAGGTAAAATTCAGGTCCCAGGTATTGATTCAGGTCCCAGGTATTGATTCAGGTCCCAGGTTCCGTGAAATATTGCTTCGGTTCCCAGAATCGGAAGTACTGAGTCCAC